CAGGGGTCCAAGATTATCTTCTGTGTCTGTGTTAATTGGTTTCCCTTTTCTTTGTTGAAGAGGGTCTGTGCAATCCTTCTGCCTAGTCCGCCATCTTGCCAGAACTCCCCTATAGACCTCTTTAAATGGTAGCTATTATTAACAGAAGCCTATCTGTCCTCATACAAGTAAGTGAACAATGTGTGACAATGTAAAACTAACTGGGAAAATGAGAACAAAAGAGGACCAGAACCCAAACCAGGAACTAGTCATTAGCATTCTTAGCTACCTATTTCTGATAAAGAGCTTTACTAATATCCTGTTGAAGAGAGGACTATATGTTATTGTTAGGTGCCGTCAATAAGCTCCGACTCATAGCAACCTTATATAGAACAGAACTAAACACTGCCCGGTCCTTGCCATACCTGAGCCCATTGTTGCAACCACTGTGTCAATTCATCTTGTTGAGTGCCTTCCCCTTCTTCACTGGCCCTCCACTTTAGCAAGCATGATATCCTTCTCCAGGGAATGGTCCATTCTAACAATATGACCAAAGTAGGTGAGACGAAGTCTGGCCATTCTCGTTTCCAGGGAGCATTCCAGTTGTGCTTCCTCCAGGGCAAATTTGTTCATTCTTTTGGCAGTCTACGGTACTTTCAGTATTCTTGGCCAACACCACAACTCAAAAGCATCAACTCTTCTTTGGTCTTCTTTGTTCTTTGTCCAGCTCTCACATGCGTATGAGGTGACTGAAAATACCATGGCTCGGGTTAGGCACACTTTAGTCTTCAAGAAGACATCTTTGCTTTTCCACATTTTAAAGAGGTCTTTTGCAGAAGATTTGCCCAGTGCAATATGTCATGTCATCTGATGTCTTTACTGCTGCTTCCATTGGGGTTGATTGTGGAACCAAGTAATATTAAATCTCTGACAACTTCATTTTTTTCTCTATTTATTGTGATGCTGCTTACTGGTCCAGTTGTGAGGATTTTAATTTTCTTTATGTTGAGATGTAATTCATACTAGAGACTGAAGTCTTTAATCTTCATCAGTAGGTGCTTCAAGTCATCCTCACTTTCAGCAAGCAAAGCTGTGTCATCTGCATATTGCAGGTTGTTAATGATTCTTCCTCCAATCTTGATGCCTCTTCATATAGTCCAGCTTCTCAGATTATTTGTTCATCTTACAGTTTGAATAAGTATGGTGAAAGGATACGACCCCGACGCACTCCCTTCCTGATTTTAAACCATACAGTATCCCCTTGTTCTGCTCGAATGACGGCTTCCTGGTCTACGTACAGGTTCCTGATATGTACAATCAAGTGTTCTGGAATTTCCATTCTTCTTGATGTTATCCATAATTTTTTATGATCCACATAATTGAATGCTTTTGCATAGTCAATAAAACACAAGCAAACATCTTTCTGGTATTCTTTGCTTTCAGCCATGATCCATCTGACATCAGCAATGATATCTCTTCTTCCATGTCCTCTTTTGAATCTATTACATTTCTGAAAGTTCCCTGTCAATATACTGCTCCAAGCATTTTTTAATTATCTTCAGCATGATTTTACTTCTGTGTGATATTAATAATATTGTCCAATGATTTCCATATTCTGTGGGATCACCCCTTTGGAATGGATACAAATATAGATCTCTTTCAGTCAGTTAGCTAGGTAGTTGTCTTCCAAATCTCTTGGCATAACCAAGTGAGTGCCTCCAGTGGGGTATCCATTTGTTGAAACATCTCAATGGGTATTCTATCAATTCCTGGAGCCTTGTTCTTCACCAATTCTTTCAGTGCAGCTTTGACCTCTTCCTTCAATACCATTGGTTTTTGAACATATGCCACCTCCTGAAATGGATGAAGATCAACCAGTTCTTTTTGGTACAGTGACTCTGTGTATTCCTTCCATCTTCTTTTGATGCTTCCTGCATCATTCAATATTTTGCCCATAGAATCTTTCAATATTGTAACTTGAGGCTTGAATTTTTTTTTCAGTTCTTCCAGCTTGAAAAATGCCAAGCGTGTTCTTCTCTTTTGGTTTTCTAACTCCAGATCTTTGCACATTCATTATAATAACTTTGTGTTCTCAAGCTGCTCTTTGAAATCTTCTATTCAGCCACTCCTTGGAAGGAAGGTTGGGCAATCCTACTTCCGTAGTGATACTGCCTCGGAAACCCAAGGAGGGGTCGCTATGAGTCGGGGCCGACTCGACGGCACATAACAACAACAACAACATTCAGCTCTTTTATCTTGTCATTTCTTCCATTTGCTTTAACTACTCTTCATTCAAGGGCAAGTTTCAGAGTCTCTTCTGACATCCATTTTGGTCTTTTCTTCCTTTCCTGTCTTTTTAATGACCTTTTGCTTTCTTCATGGATGATGTTCTTGAAGTCATCCCACTATTCCTCTGGTTTTCAGTCATTGGTGTTCAATGCATCAAATCTGTTCTTTAGATGGTCTCTAAATTCAGGAGGGATATAATCATGGTCATATTTTGGCTTTTGTGGACTTGTTTTGTCTTCAGCTTCAACTTGAACTTTCATATGAGCAGTTAATGGTCTGCTCCACAGTCAGCTCCTGTATATTATTTATATATTTATGTATAGTGTTCTTCCACAGCACAGTCTCAGCCCTTCTCAGCTAAACCTTTTATCCTTACCAAATACACGAGAATCTTGTAAACAATAATGATTATAGTAAACATGCTATTTGCTTGGCAATTCACTGACAGAAATCCACTTAAATCTTCAGTGACCCACCCAGTGAGGCAGATACCATCTTCATTCCCTGAACAGATGCTGAAATCTGAAAGGTATCTCATAGGGTGGACACAAGAGAGTGGAGGCCGCTGTAGTGACTGGTCAGGGGGGCTAGCACACAAGTATACGTGGTCAGGTGTGCCCACTCGTTCACTGGCCCTGACTTGGGGTTTTTGTCTACTGAGAGGAAAGAAACTTGCAGAAGTCGTGAAGAGCCATCGGTTGCTTTTAAGGTTCCTAGAGCGTTCTTGAAAGGGATCAAGGGCACTGTGACCTCCTTTTCTTCTCTCTTTCAACCTCCCTCTAAAGAACGTGGTTAGGAGTCAGGGGCGATAAGTGTCCCCTTCCCCACTACCAACCATCAAAGGAAATTCCAACTCGAAAAACGGGTCAGACGCTGAGTTTAAGTCAGTTAAGATTTTACAAAAAGGGGAGGGGCTTCCTGTTGAAGAGGCGGGGAAACACTGAACCCTGTGAGCTGCTGATTGGCTAGGACATGTGCCCGTCCGTCCTCCCTCCCGCCCCACCCTTGGGTGGCCTCCCGGCAGGGCCAGTTGACGTTCGGAGAAGACTCGCAGTACCAAACTGGCAAGGGGCGTGACAGGGGGAGGTGGGGCGAGGGGGCGTGTCCGGGTCTTACCCGGAGCTGTGCGCGTCATGATGTGGGGCTCCACCCCTTGGCTCTTACGCGACTTTCTCCTCCTCCGCCGCCGCGTCCCCTAGCTCGCTCAGTTCTCGCTCCACGTTCCACGCCGTGGCCACACTCCTGTGTGATTGCCAGCCCGTGGCCGCCGCGCACACACGTTTGCCCCGCGCGCCGTTCGCTCCACGCTCGCGCGTTCTCGCGCTCGGTCGCATATTCGTGTCTCCCTAGCGCGCCGGGTTCTCGGCTGCGGCTGCGGGCGGACCGCGCGGGGCAGCACCGTAGCGGCCGCCGCGGGCTGGCCAGCCGGCCATGGAGGCGGATGGGGCCGGCGAGCAGATGAGACCGCTACTCACCCGGGTAACGAGCAGGGTGAGGGCACGGCGGGGCTCCTCGGGGGGTAGGGGTGCGTGGGGCGAAATAGACAAAGACAGAGGCGCGGCGGATTGAGCAGTTCGGCCACCTCTTCCCCGGCCCGGCGCCCCTCTGCCTCCCGGCGGCCGGCGCGCCTCACCATCCCCTTTGTGTGGTCGCCTGGGGCGCGGGGGAGAGAGGGCGGGTGGCGGCGGCGCCGGGGAGGCCGGAGTGGGGACGGCCAGTAGCGCACCCAGGGCATCCTTGCCACGGCTCAGATGAGACCTCGGCACCCCCAGCAGGGGTCGGCCGCCTGTGACCTCGACCATCCCTTCCTTTCTTTCCGCAGCGCTCGCCTCTCTTAATTCCTGGCGTTCTCTCGACAGCCGGGGTCCCGGTTCCGGTTGCCTTGGCTCTGGAGTTCCGATTAGCCCCTCGAAAACCCATCTTTCTTCTCCCTTTAAGGAGGACCGCGGCTCCACCTGTCTTTAGCTTCAGGCAGTGGTGAAGAACTGGTGTGACTCTTTCCCCTTCTTTCCGCGTCTCTCACCCGGTGCGCGGTGTGCTTTGTTCGGTGAGTTCTCCGGCCGCGTGGACGAGCCGCCTTCCTTTGCAGCCAAGGCTGCTTTTCACTGCTGGCTCTGCTTGGCCCGCGTCCTCTTTGGGTGAGAGCCAGAGGAGTATCCTTCAGCCGCAGGCCAAGTAGAAAGAGGAAGGTGTCCTGAGTCCTCCGTGCTGCTGTTCTGCATCAGCCTAGCAGAAAATGCGTTTCCTGGTGAGACTGGCTTTGGCTTCAAGGTTAGAAGGGTGTGATGGTGGGCTATGAAAAAGCCAGTGTTTTCCATTTAGGTTGATGAATCTGGACGAGTGGCTTATGCCCAAGAAATGACTTCCTGCTTTTTGTGGAGTACATGTGCCGCAGAATTGTGATCCTCTTCTCTCTTCCTAGTTTGTGACTCAAAGGACATGGAGGTGTTATAAATTTTCCTACTTCCAGTTCTTACTCTGTGACCAGCAAAGGAGAGAAGCTTGCAGTGAAAATTTTCCAGCCTTCCACAACTAACAGGAAAATTGCTTTCCATGTGTTTTTATTCAAGACTTGCCCTTAAATGCCAGCCCTCCCTATCTTTTTATTTTTTATTTTCAGACCTTGGTGAGTAGTCATTTCTTATTTCTCTATGTTCACCTGTAAGTTTTCAAAACAAATGAGGAAAACTGAGTCTCCAGACAGTGAAGTTATTTAGAAGAGGGATAGTGAGAAGATCGTTGGCAATGAGGGTAATGGAATACTGGAAACTGGTCCTAAGGAATCTTCTGTAGTTCTTTGTGTGGTCTTTGAATAAAACTGTTTTTGAGTGTGCTTTTAGCACCTTATCTCATAGTGTGTATCAAATACAGTGTTGTCAGTGCTTGAATTTGTTTGCATATTTTCAGTTCAGAACAGTGAAGAGAATCTTAGTTTTCATAAAATTGGGTAGGATATGATATGTTCACAAGTTTTGATCGCCTCCTTAGCTTGTAGAAGAAGAGTATGGTAAGGTCATTGCTCTCTAGAATTATTCATTCATTCGTTGTGCTAACAATTGTTTAGAAACCCTCTTCTGTAGTGTCCAACAAGACAGAACCAGCACTGCCTAAATAGACCAACATTCAAGTGAGGGAGACCAATGACACAGGGATTAGCAAGCACTGTGTTGTTGATGAAGAGCTCTGGTAGCATAGTGCATAAGGCACTTGACTGCCTACCAGAAGGCTGGCAGTTCAAACCCACCAGCCACTCCTCGGAAGGAAGGTTGGGCAATCTACTTCTGTAGTGATACCGCTTCGGAAACCCAAGGAGGGGTGTCTTTGAGATGGGTCCAACTCAATGGCACATAACAACAACAACATGTTATTGATGATGGAGGAACACTTTGGAAGAAGGATATAGCTGCTAAATCTTTGGGAAACTTGAATACTGTTTAGCTACACTAAACATGGAGATCAATAATAGGAATCATACAATAAGAAATACAAGTACAGTCTAAAAATAGAATGGGAATGCAATGAAACTGGGTTGAAGTAAGTGTAGGATCATTCTGACTTAAAAACAGAAGAGAGGAACCATTGACATTGACAAAGTTAGATCTTTTCTTGCTCAGTTTCATGTTGTTGTTATTTGCCATTGAGTCGCTCCGACTCACAGCAACCCCTCCTTGGGTTTCCGAGGCAGTATCACTACTGAAGTAGGAATGCCCAACCTTCCTTCCGAGGAGTGGCTGGTGAGTTTGGACCGCCAGCCTTCTGGTTAACAGTCCAGTGCCTTAGGCACTATGCTACCAGAGCTCCTTCAGTTTCTTATAGTAAATGAAAATCAAGAAAGTACTTGCCAGCCATAATTTTTCTCTAACTCATAGCAGACTGCTTAGATATCCTAAGAAGTAGGATAAAATTAATATTCATGAAATACTTAGATTTGTAATTATGCAAACATTTTGAATAAATTGGTAGCAGTCTATATTACTCTGAAAATTAAGCCCATCTGTTTTATAATTTAGGCTCTAAGATTTCCTTAACTCCTAAAATTCTTGCTGATTTTTCAGTTTTCTTGATAGTTTTCACTGATCATGATACTGGGATAGAAGGAAGTCATTCATCCTACAAAAATACTATTTCGTTTTGCTTGGTTACAAAAATTCATCATTGTAGGCCTCACTTAGAATTGATTTGAAGTGTTTTATTTTCTAGTATTGGTTAAATCCAAGTTTTAGTAAATGATCTTTCTTTTAAGCAGACATAATTTAACATGATTCTCTTACCAATGAAGATTTGGGAGTAGTTCCATAAAGTTTGTTGTTACATCATTCATTCTAAAGTTTTTATTATGGATCCAGGCACAAGGGATGTAGACATATAAGGCAGAGAGTCCTGCCCTCACTGAACTTTTTTTTGGCATGTGGAGTGAATACAATTGTAGCATTCCTACTAACTCCATTTGTGGGTACCAGTGACAACATTTTCATGATTCTATAAGAAATATTTTTGTAATTATTAGAATGAATGAAAAATATAAATAGTCCAGTATGAATTCAGTGGTGATTGTCAAATGTAAGTGTTTTTGTGGATCCAAGTAAGCATAAAGTGAATGCTTTCGGGTAACTGTGATTAATTATTGATAGTTCTAGAGATTAGGTATCCCAGGCATATTACCCGGAAGGAAGGTTGGGCAATCCTACTTCCGTAGTGATACTGCCTCGGAAACCCAAGGAGGGGTCGCTATGAGTTGGTGCCGACTCAACGGCAAATAACAACAACAACAACAGGCATATTACCAGGATTTCAGTTACCTTTTTATCTTATTCTTGCTAAGTTTGGCCACAGTCCATGCAGTTGGCACTAAAGGGAGAGACAGCAAATCTGTTATCTCTCCAAGTGAAACTGCAGTACAATTGAATTGGATTGAAAACTGTTTTCTCTGTAATTGAGATTGAGAGGTACACAGTTTTTTTTTTAAAGAGAGCTTAACCTGTTGCCTTCCAGTTGATTCCGACTCATAGAGACCCATTTTAGGACAGAGTAGAACTGCCCCATAGTATTTCCAAGGCTGTAAATCTTTATGGAAGCAGACTGCCTCATCTTTTTCCCCTGGAGCCACTAGTGGATATGAACTGCTGACCTTTTGGTTAGCAGCCAAATGCTTTAACCACTACACCACCAGAATCCTAAGAGAGCTTAGGATATGAAAATTAAAATAGTTTGTTACACAAGACTCCTGTCGTTTGAGTAGATTAAAATCGAAAGCCAGAGCAACCTGGTGTTAGAGGAACCTGGTTTATTTTTTCAGTGGGTATAAGGTGAGCTAACCAGTGTATTCTAAAATTTGGGTAGATTACTTGTCAACATCCTGTAATGGGTTGTTTTTCTTCCTCTTTCCCTCCCCCTCTTTCTTACTGTAAGATTACCACAAATTTGATCGTAAAGTGGTTAGACTGAATCTGCAACTGATAAAATGGGTCATTTTATACAAAGAAGCATATAGGTGTGGGTTAATATTATAGGTTAATCTTAGATCATCGTGGCTTTTGATTTATATTATAGCTTCTCTTACTGACTATAGAGTCTTTTATGTATAACTTTTTATCCATACACTATTTTCAGTTTAACAATAGCAAGTATGAGCAACAAAGATCAGTGGGCTGTATATAGATGGAAAAGTGCAATTAGCCTCCTTTTGAATGAAAGAATTTTTGTTCGCTAGTCAAAGCAGGTGGCTTCAGCATTCATGTATATAATGAAATTTGTCTCTATTTTTATTTAGCAGACAACCTTATGTATTTTGTTAGGTGCTATTGAATTTTGCAACGTGAGGAGACTTTTTGGATTATTGTGATGATAATGATTACAAACTACGAAGAGGTCTGTGGCTGGCAGAGTGTTGTGTTAGTGTTTGTCAGTGCACAGAGGTAGCCAACTAGAGTAGTGCTAGGCTGTTTAAATTAATAATGCCTTCTTTCCATAGACTAGTCATTTTAAAATGACTGCTATGCTTTGAAAGTGACACCCCCCAGTACTCAGTTTTAGAAAGTAATGTGCTTATGAGATAGATTGACATTTTGTCTGGGGCAGATCTGCCAGTGCAGACAGGGTTAGTATGGCTGTTGTAAGCAAATTTTCAAATATCCTCCAAAGAGGTTATTTTAAAGCATTTTATTTTTTCTTAATCCATAGTTTGGATTTTATTAAGTGTATTTGAACAGTTTTTACTTTCATTTTTATTTTTGTCAGGGCACAGTAGCAAAATGAAGGGTAAAACAAATCCTTTTCATAATGAAATAAAAAAGATACTTTAATGTTTTAAAGATTCTTTATGCATTTTTGCTTTTTCAGGGAATCTTATGTGGGCTACTCTCATTTGAGTGACACTGTCACATCTCTCTGGGCTCTAGAATTGAATTGCTTCTTTTCCCAGACTGCAGTTTGGAAAAGCTATTGAATTGTGTATCATTTCTGATTGGGAATTTGAGAAATGGATGTATCTT